CATTATATATCGGTAGCTATGTGTCTCTTTGTGAGCTGCCTTTATACTTCTACAGGATCGACTTTATATATTATAGGTTGACCTTATGTAAAAAAAATATTTTTTAAGTTCGTTTTTCATCACTAGGTTCGCTTGGACTTAATAAGTTCATTTTTAGTGAATTTGCGCTCTCGAATTTGATCTCTATTTTTATCATCGTACCTCTTTTGACAAGTGCGTTAGTATTGTGCCTTTCTGCCAAAACGCCCTCAGTTTTATGGTCCTATGGCCCTGGGTTAGTGCGAGCCCAGAAGCTCGCGCGTTCGAGACAAGAACGCACGGCCAGTGTCCAGATCCAGCGTCGATATCGTGGCCACAAGGCTCGACGACTGGCGATCGATCTGCGAGAAGAACAACGTCGCTTTTTCGAGCTTCAGCAGCGTTGTGCAGTGCGAATTCAAGCTCAATTCCGACGTTTACATGCTCGACGTCAAGCTTCACGACGTCGAAATGCCATTATCGAACGAGAAGTGGCAGCTACCAAGCTTCAGTCGGTCTATCGAGCTCGACGTGGACGAGAAGCGGCTGGGCTGTTGACGTTGGCAAGGCAACGCCATGATCAGGACACGGCAGCACGTAAACTGCAACGACATTGGCGTGCTAGACGCAATCGACTGGCGCTGATCATTGTGGCAGAAGCAAGACGTGTTCGCAACCAGCAACGATCAGAAGCAGCTGTGGCTATCCAACGTTTTGTGAGGAAATTCCTAGTGCGTCGTCGGGCACGTCGAGTTGTTTGTGAGTTACTGGAAGTGCAGCAGCGGGCTGAAGAGATGAAGCGATGGGCGGCGACTCTGGTGCAGTCTTACTGGAGACGACACGAAGCTTACGGTCGTGTCCGTGAAGAACGAAAGATTCAACGTACACGATGGAAACAACTCGTCGACACGTACAACCAGCACGGCGCAGGACCAGGAGCGCCATTTTTCTTCGTACGTTGCTTCACTATAAAGAGCTTGAGGTTTGAAAACTCACTTTCATTTTGTTGCAACTTTTGTTGCAGAACCAAATTAACGGCGAGATCCGCTGGCGTTTGCCACGAGATCTGTTGTCCCTCACGTTTCGTCCGACTTGCGCTCAATGTGGTAAGTATTTGAGGTATTGGAGAAATGTAGTGTACTCAATTAACGTTGTTGTTTTGTTTTAGAAACGCCTCAAAGTGCAAGCTTCGAGTGTGCAACATGCTGCGAGTTTTTTTGTGATCATGTGAGTTGTACATTTCTTTCATCATTTTGAAGTGACAATTTCTCTAATATTTTTGTGTTAAAACAGTGCGACGCAGTTGTCCATGGTGGAGGCAAAAGGCGGCAACACAACAAGCGAAAGTTGTTTGACTATTACGGTCGACGCCGAGACTTTGGAGACGGCGAGTTCCCGTCGATTTGGCCCTCGGAAATCCTTCAGGATGCTTCAAGAGGCTACGATTTCGTGAATTTGGTGCCTCGCGACAACTACCAGGAAATGTTGTGGGAGATCTCGCAGTTTGTGCCCGTGTCTACTGGCAACTGGGACGACGAGTTGCAGGCAACAGCTTCTTGTACTTCTGCTTCGTCTCCTGCAGTTGTCTTAGCGTTCGTCACCATAATGAGCGAGAATACCAGTATCCAACCTATCGACAACGAGGCAGTTGTCACGGGTGTCGATGGCTTGGAGCGACCTGCTGGGCCACTAAACCACCTCCTGTATCGCGAAAAAGACGTCGATGAACACGGTGCGAGTCTCTGGGAGAGCTTCTACGACTACGCACAGGGAGAGTATCGCTACTACCACCGCATCTCCAAGAGAGTTGTCTCGCATCCACCAGGTTAGCGCAGTACATACCGTCAACAGAGAAGTTTGCAGCGCTCTAACCATCGGCGAGCTGGTCTATTGATTCTTCTTACGACCTTCAATGTATTTCCCAGACTGATACACGTACCGCACGGGCTTGCGTAGTTTCTTCATTCGACAGTCAAGCTTGTCCTTAGAACGATCGAAAGAAGTTTCGTTTTGATCACATCTTCAGTGTTTTTGAGCGTGTTCCCTGTTTGTGGTTCGTTGCTTTTTAGTGGTAAAGTCTCTACATCAGCACAGTAGCCATGCAGTAAAAAACACAAAACACACATTAGGCACAAGTCCGAAGCTCACAACATAGAAGGCCAAGTTCATTGGATTCGGTCTACAGTGCACATCGCGACAGCACGGGTACGGTTAGCGGGGGGTGTTTACGTCCTGGGGACGTTCACCGTACAAACCTTCCAGCATGCTCAGACCCCTTCAAATCGCCAGTCCGTCGCAACGTTCGTACTTCAAGTAGCTCAACTCGCAACCTCTTAACGCATGTAAAAAAATACAAGAAAAGAAAATAGACCTTGCGTAGTAGTCGGCGTCTTGAGTCCGTCAGCGTCAGTAGCTTAGAAGAGCTCGTTCTTCTCGAACTTGTCCACGGGAAAGTAGGTCACCTTGACGATGTTCCCGCCAAACTTGCGTCCGTTCAAGGCCTAAATGTTCCAATCGAGAGATAACAGCGTGAGTGGAGATACTAAGACACACTCAGTAAATCATCAACGCACCTTCAAGGCCGACACCGCGTCTTCTTCCTTTCCGAAACGGACATAGATGCAGCCTAGACCAGGGACCTCTTCTCCGTCCTATCAGTTAGCAGCCAGAATATATCCGTTAGTGACTGCAAGTTTCCAACTACACGGCACCATTGGACACACCTTCGGACGCGGAATTTCCATGCCAGTGACGCCCCCAAAGCGCTTGCACTCTTCCTCTACATCTTCAGCAAGATCAGCATATTCCTCGTCATCTCTTAGCTCATCAATTGAAACCATATTCGCCTGCGCAATAACACAACCATCGTCAGCATCACATGTAACACAAACCCTATCTCAATCACAGGTCTCACCATTTTCAAAACGGCACTGGGTTGGTCCTCCGGATTAGCAGCCGCCGCACTTGGAAGAGCAGCGGCACTGCTAGCAGGCTGGCGTTGCACCGACAGCAGAATTCCACCGATACTTAGCCCATTCAATCCTTCCACAGCTTGCGCAGCGACGTCGCTGTCCTCGTACTCGAACAAAGCACTGCCCAGAGATGCACCTGTAGCCGAGTCCTTGACCAGCGTGAAGCTTTTGAGCTTTCCAAACGGCTCCACCAGCTCTTTCACTTGCTCCTCCGCCAGCA